GCTCATATGAGGTAAGGTTTGATTAATTCTTTTTAAAATAAAATCGACATTTTCACGAATTTATTTACTGCATCTTGAATTGTTCGTTTCATATTATATATTATATATTTATATACGATACATTAGACGCTCCTATAATGAATTATGCTTTGAAGAATGTATTATCACACCCAGTAGTTTAAACGCAAAATTAGTAAGATTTTCCATAAAAAAATGCGGTATTGGCACTTGCTAACAACATCTGAAACAAGCATCTCTTAAGCGAGAACAAGTTTTTAATGCGTTTACAATATTGTTATACAATAATCTCACATTAAGGTAGGTAGGTAGGTAAGCCGCACCTTGTATCTTAACTAAATGCTTTGTTCATATCACATAATATTCTTCTTGTGTGTTATAGATTGTGAAAATGGAAAACTTTTAGAGAGCTTTTGTTTGCAAAAATGTATAAATCACATTTTAGTTTATATCTACAAAAATATTTAACTGGACTCAGTATAATTTAAACAGGTTAATCATTTTGGAATATTCTTGAATACTTTCTAACTTTTAGCATTTATCATACTACGCAAGTTAGGACTTTGGTCCAATAAGCTCGTCAAATGATATAATTTTGTAATTTTAACTATTTTTGTAATTGCCGGTCAGAAAGAATATAAAAATATTATTAACAAACTGTTTCAAAACTATGTAGCTATTTATTAGAAGAACAAACACACAAAAGTATGTAGACCGTTAGAGAAAAAATATATTTTGTCATGCAAAACGTTCTGAAAAAGAGTCGTAATACACGCATACATAAGTGATTATCAGCAGACTAACCATATGGCGTTCTTATTCAAATTTTTTTAACTGTGACTTTTGTAATTATTGTTTCTTTTGAGATGCAGGTATGTGGGTCAAGCATTACATTAGACGCAAACCATTCACAGAATTTCATATGTTAGAACCAGCCCGTAGTTATTTGCTAATAGATTTGTTCTATTTAAGCTTGAGGTTTCGATTTAATATTGTATGAATTGATCATTGTAATTACAATTCTTTGTTGATTGGATTTTACAGTTTGTTTCTGATATTGTTTTGCGATTCGTTAGCAATTAATCCTTCCCAAATTATTATTATAGTTATATATTAATAAGAAGTCTTGGAAATTTTTTTACAGATAATGCTTGCAATGGGGTAGAAGTGTAGTTCTAGAAAACTAAAAAATAGGAAAATTATAATTTAAAATAATAAGAGAAACACTACAAGTCAAAATAAAGCGAACTGATACAGATCTATTCCAATTATACCAAATACCCAACAAAACGCTATTTGCTTCGAGTCATAGGAACTTTTTCTCTTCATATGAGTTTTTAATTGGGCAATGGAAGAGTAGGCACACTCAGCGCATCAATTAGCTTACGTGGGTCGTTCCTATGTTTAACCAAGGATTACAAAACGTTTCAGAAGATTACATTCAGAAATTGCCGAGTAGAATTCGCTTCTACACGCTACCTGATAATTATAAAACAAATAGTCACATATTTTTAAAAGGAAAATCGGTGTAGGAATATTATCGTCAATGGAGAAAGTGCACACGAAACAACATCGCTAATGGGGGCTTCATTAGATATGAATAAAAAAAAGAAAGAACAAATAATAATGTAACTTATTAGAAGCTGTTAAGGGTTCTGTTCTGAATATATAAAAACAATCATTATTCTTTGGTTTGTTTTAAAATATATTTGAATTCATAGTTAAAAATTATATTATAAGCCAACGTTGGGTCGTGCTTTAATGCGTTCTCGCGACTTTAAATTATCTTTAATAAATTCTGTACATTTTTTATTTCCGTTTCATTTTCATTTCACAAGATTCATAAATTTCTATAAACGGGTCTTCTTTCTGGCAGTTAGGTCGAAATATTCATAGTCAGTACCTACTTGAAAGTACTTTGAGAAGCTGAGCAAGCTTAAATATTATAACTTTGTAAATAGTCGAAATAACTGATACATTTTGTTTAATAATGATAATAATAAATATTTTTATTCCAAAATTATGCGCCACAGGTACAAGGTGCCTGTGACATTTATTCTCTCTATTCTATTTTAATTCATTCTAGCACACGGTATGGATTAGCATTAACTTTTGCCAATAAATTCTGTACTTGATCATTATGCTAATATCCGGTATAATTTGATTAAAAACGCACTTGGTTTTATGGTAAATCGTGATTATGTAATATCATATTCCTTTCACTGTGTAAATCGAATTTAGGTTCACAACCCATTGTTCCGATGGAAGAATCCACGGAAGTGCTAAATCGATGAATATCTCCGTGTTGAAATCGCGTTAGGAGAAACATCTTGCGAATGACTGTTTCGGTTTCCTTTGGAAAATCTATGGGTTAATAAATTGTTTTATGAGGTTCATTTAAATATTAGATGAGCACTATGCAGGCGATTTTCAACTGTAATTGGCAAACAGAGTGTTTAAATGACAGGAACATGTATGATTTGGTTTTTGTTATTAATAGCATTTGCAAAAAAGTTTCCATATTGTTTAAATATTTTTTAATATTCTTAGTTATCAATCAGCGTGCTTTGCTGAATCACAATCATTCATTTATACCATTTCAACGCTATTATAGGAGACGTAGATAAATGAATAGAGATGTGGAAAGTAATTAATCTAAATTTATAAATGTGAACCGTGCTGGGAGTTTCAAATAACATATGCCCAGAAATTTATTGTACCCCAATTGAAAATATGTTTTTAAGTGTTTTTAAAAACAATACTAAAATTATTAATAAAAATACTAAAAGTCCATATATTTAGAATTCAATAATATTTTTTGCTGTTTATTGATAGGCTAGTGACTTAGTCTGGTGTACTCTTTGGTTTGCTGACTTGAATATTAAAGAATTTTAAAAGTAAAAAAAGTAGTTTTTATACCTAACATTGAACGTTGCAGTTTGTGCACCCAAACAAAAGCGTTTCAATAAAACTACCTGAACTTTGTATCATAATTATTAACAGTATTTTTAAATTACCATAAACCAGCGATTCGCTAATAATAGTAGAAATTATACCGTAAAACTACGTAATTTTCCGCATTCTTTTCATCGTCAGTTTGTTTATTGCACTCGGAAGCATTATCTTGTCCTTTGGCCTTTAATAAAAGTCAAGGATGCGCTTGAGGTAGAATACATTTTATTTATTTTGTTTCTGTGTAACGTATCGGAAACATTTCAATTATTATATAACTGAACATTCCTCAGAAATAAATTTCATGCTAAACTATTTAGTATAATTGAAAATTGCTTCTGTTTTTAATTTTCTTGTACTTTTCCCCTTGGTCCAATCACTGATCTTCACTTTTCTCTGTTGATGTGTGCTAATGCCAGTTAACCTGATACTGGCAATCTTTTTGAACTAAATATACTTGCATAAGTCGTGCTGCTAGGTTGCACTAAAATATATATAGGTACGTTGTGAGTGCTTTCGTTACAATTCAATGAAAAATAAATCCAACCGGCCTTAAATGTCAATTGTGTAGAATTTCCGATATTTTTCGACTTGCTGTAAAAAATCAATCTGATATTGAAACTGGCCTTGATCCACGCCTATATATGTTGCACCATGTATTATTTACACCTAATAGTGGCCGTTAGCTTTAAAGCAGGTGAACCAATATTTTCAATTTAATAAGAACAAAGATGGTGTGCGTGATTTAATTGAATACGTGCTATATTAAAGTAATCAAAATGTATTCTTTATGAATTTGCATTAAATAAACCATATAAAGTGCTTCCGTTTAACATGCCACAAAATACATTGCTGCTAAATTGTATTACACAATAGCTAAAGCATCGCCAAAGGCACTAAGAAGGCGCCTCTTAAAATCCCTTTTATTCACGATATGAGCTCGTTTCTAATTAAAAGCTGTTATATTCTGCATTTTTTGAATCTGATTGATCTATTTTAACTGATTCAAAAAATACACTTATTTAATTATATAAAAAATGCTCTAATACAATCCGCATATATTAAGAACTTTGTTCTGTAAAATGTTATCTTGTAGTGGGTTAATTGTTATAAATTCTGCTGGCAACAGCCATTAAATGCTGTTCATTCAGACTCCATCAAAATTCATAGCAGGACTCGATAACTCTTGTTAAGTCGACATTGTACACACGGGTTACTTGCAAAAAATATAAAAAATATATCTCAGTTAGATTTATTCTTGTATAGGACTTAATCAAATTAAAACAAATTAATTAGCCGTTACAAACAATTAGGGTGCGAAATAATTTTAGTATCTATTCTTGATATCTCCTACCAGTTTGTGAAGCTAAAAAGTAGAAACATTAGAGTAAAAAAAAGCAAAGCAAGTTGAAGAACGAAAGACAGAAGTGCACAGAAATGATAGCAACTAAATAAATAATTAGGCAACTGTGAAAATGCGTTGCTCATATAGTTAAAATTTGTTTTTTTAATTGTGAAAAAAACGTGTGATGCTCTTTACACAGTCCATTGCCTGGAATGAATCAGTAATAAAAACTAAGTTCTTATATAGAAAATAATACAAAAGAGATAAAAATTGGGTAACTTTTATCGTAAATATGCTTTAGTTACCAGGTACCAATTTTGTCAGACAATATAGGCGAATGGATTTAAAACTTTAAATAAAAATAAAATTTTAAAAATAACTGACACAAAAAATATGACAAAAACTAGTTCAGTTTAGAATAATTGAATGTAAGTATTATAAGCAGCCATACTAAAAGTGTAAGTAAAAATATAGTGAATGCTTTGAACAAAGAGATAATGAATATATGAAAATAATTTGATGCATTTTTTCCTGAAATACGTTATTAGTGAGTGATTTAAAGCCTAAAACTTAAGTATTTGAAAACGACTAAGGAGTGCATTTCCGGCAGATGAACACCCAGACATTATATCTAGTAATCGCTTTAAGCGACTTAACGTAAATAAATTGTTTATCTGAAATGGTTTTTGCTTTTGCATTGTTGTAGACGCTTTTGCTTAAAAAATAAATAGAAAACCATTCTTTAAGCCATTTAATACTAGCGGGTCTTTGGAAAATTAACCTTTACGGTTGAATAATTCCCTCAATGGTGCAAATCCAATTCCAATCAAAAATTTCATAAAAAATTAAAACAGCGAATCTATCAAACTACAATTAGAAAAGTTGCTTAAACTGACCAATACATTTTAGACAGGCGCTTAAACAGGTTCAATGGTTCCTTGTAACATAGGAAACTTTCAAGTGTTTATATTAATATTATGTGACTAATTCTCAATAATGTTGAAAATGTCATTCATCATTTTCACATGTCAGCAGTTTAGTTATCAATGGCAAGTAAATTAGACACAAATCTAGCTATATCATTAATTATACTGATCTTTTTATGCATAGGAGTGTTGCTTTCAATGATACTTTATTACATCTCACCATGTAGAAGCGAATCTGAGGAGGATTTTGTCATAAAACAGTATGATAAAGATCAAGTAAGTTTAATTAATTAACTTGTGAATCAGAACTTTTGAATTTACTCTGATCGACCCAAGAACTTGTAGATAATTAACTGAAATTTTATATGCTTTTAGGTCCTAGCAAGAATAAATGGCGTAATATCTGAAGGTAGATGGAGATAGACCGATGGCTATACAAATTTTCCAAAGTTGTTGCTGTATTTAGGTTGTTCTAGATAATAAACGATCACTTTCTTCACATAGCACTTCAATTTCACCATATTCGGGAATTTTAATTCTCTACCTCTTTAGCAGCCACGGTTTTATTTTTATCATGTCAAATGCGTGCCTTGGCTGAAATGATACAACTTCCAAATTCTGCTACCCAAATGAGTCTGTTAGGTATTCATATTGCAAAATAACACCAATAGTTGACCGTAATCGAATTGTGGGTGATTAGGTGATCTAACGAGGTTAAATTATCCGTCAAATGAGATTAATGTATAAAAAGCACGTACAAGCACACTTTTGCATTTTGCAGGTCAGTAACACAAAATCATATTTCAGTTCATGCTGAGAATGGGCCGAAACATAGGTATATTTAATTATGTTACAAAAATTGTACGTATTGTGAGAAAGTCGGGTTGAAAAATTACTTTCAGTTTCCATATAATTTAAAAAATCAGGGTCCTGGATTAGAAATCTATAACAGAGAAGCAGGAATTATTTTGTCAACCGCTCTCTATAGATTGGTGCCTCTGAATAATGAAAAATACTTAAAAATAGACTACGAATTAATTTGAAAATGTATAGAACTCCTATTTTTTGCGTTATATTTTTAAAGGAAGTTTGAAAATGTATTTTTTAAACACCTGGCAAAAACGTTTTTTTATATTTAATTTTGGGACGTGCCAAGTGCATCAAATCGAGTTAAGGCTTGAAATGTGTGCTAGCTGCTATCACGCTCGACTGACTCATTAAAGTGCGTTAAATAACTGTTATCTTTTCGCATTTAGAGCGAGCGACATCGGACGTGAGGAAAGCCAATACAAATTTGTTACTTACTAGAATTATGGCTGAGACAAGGCTATTCGCTTACAGTGGCGTTACTATCTTCCGTAATAGTCACTAGTTCTTCACTATTCAGTTAAGTCCTTGACTATTCATAAATATTTAAAAAAAATAAACATGTCAGACTCAATTGTCCCTTTCCACTATGTTACAGATCAAGCTTCATAAAACCAATCTAATATGGTTTTTAAAACAATATTTTCGTTACAGCACACTTCGAATTAATAGATTATGGTTTAGCAGAGTTCAATAAAAAAAATCCGTTGAAGTAAATTTATATTCCAATGAAACGACGATAAAATATTATAACATGATGTGACTTCATGCTTCAGCTTACACTCCTCTGACTTTAGAATATATCGTCATAAGACATACAAGTTAAGCACAAAAAATATATTTTTACAGTTCAACAGTTTTAGATGTTCCATTTAGATACGCCACTGTACTCATTGTAACTGTAATGTTTTCACATACACAATGAATAAGTGCGTACTTACAGAAGGATGCATTAGGGTTTTAATCGGTTTCCTTTAGAGATTTTTAATTATTTGTACATTTCTCGCGTAAAACTTTGCAACTCTTCCAATGCTAGCAGTTTATTGGTGATTATCATTGTTTTAAATTTACGTATACTTTGGACAACTACTGACTCGATTTTTTTAATAGAGTTTGATGTAACATGAACGCTTAATGAGTTTGTTTACACTCCCTAAATGATAGAAATTCTTGCGAAATAAATGACTGTGTATCTGGTTCTTGTCTCAACTGCACCTACGCAAGCTAAGTAGTTCAGTAACAATTCCTTTTATCGATACGTTGCCGGTTTTAACCGTTTACACAATATTCGTAAAATGTAAATTGATTTTTTATTTTAATTTCTGTACATAAACATACAATATCTGTAAGCAGAAAGTTTGAAGCATTGGTCATAGACGTTTTATTGGATCTTGCATAATGTTCTCATAATCTGAAAGCTATTTTCCTCTCACCAAAATGCGGCTAATTTCAATATTAAGCTCGTAAGTTTTTTGCACAATTTTGGGACGTACGATGGTGTTTTGATTACATAAATGTAATTTTGCTGCTACTATGCTTTGATATTATTATTTTCCTTAGAAGTAGTCCCAGAAGATTTAAGCGATTTAATTCACGTTCATCATTTAGATTAACTTTTGCTAACAACTCTTCTTCGTGGAGTTTTTTTGGGAAAGCACCGTTTTGACCACTGAAGTTTGCAATTTTTTCATGAAAAAAAACAGGCCAAGCCATCTTCGCTTACACTCCCAAGCCAAAAATATACTTTGTAACCTGTTGTCTATATCCCGTTTTGAGAAAAAAATATGACCAAAAACCAGTACTAACCAAAACTTACCCAAATTAACAAAAACTAAAAGAATTAAGCGGAACTAACGCGACTACCTACAAGACGTGCCCAAAAAAAAATCAACAATAAACAATAGCCCAATTAACCGATACCAACAAAAACTAAGTAAATGTGTCCAAGAAAAAATCAAAATAGAGATAGATTGGGCAAATGCGTCAAACGTTCCTTTAATAAGAAACCATTCTTTAAGTTCTGATAAAAATTAGTAAATTGCAATAAGAAAAACGAGGTGGAAAACCGCATTTCCCTTAAAAACAGCACTAAAAAAAGTTACTAGTAAAGGATTATTCATTGATTAACTACGAACACGAGGAGCGGATAAGCTAAAAAATAATCAAACAATTCAATAGCTGAATTTTTGTTGATAGTCAGTACATCGATGGCTCTCATTGTTATTAATCGAAAGTTAGTACTTACCAGTCGACAGGTCCTGGCTTGTTAAGCAATATAATCAACATTTTTCTAATAAAAATCGTTCCAAGAAAAGTGAAATCCGTGTACGTACCTGCAACAAAACAAAGTTTACCGTTAACTAACAAAAACGGCAAATCAAGAGTGAAACATTCAATTAATATACGTATCGTGAAGTGTAAAACGAGTTTGAAAAAACATAAGAATTGGGCATGGGCGAGATTGCAATTGGCATGTGGAAACTGGGTTAGAAGATTGGGTTTTTGTGGAACACTTTTATTTTATGTTTGACTATCGTCTACGTGTCGTGTTTAACAAGAAATTTAATTGTACGAATTGGTAAATTTGTTTAAAAGCCTGCTTGCTATTCGAGGTCAGTAGGAATTTAAAACTATGAATTGTTGCTAAAGTAAACCAATATTAACTAAGAAAAGAGAAAACAATGGGGATTTCGTTATAAGTAAATATGTATATGAGAAACGTTACATCCTGGAAACATTTTATAAACTGTGTTCAAGAGAAATAATAATTACGATCAATTAAAATGAATGGAAATCATTCAATCTACATTTCTTAAGTTTCTATGTATTAATATTATTCTGCGTTAAACATGAATTTTGAACGATCGAAAGCATTGAAGATTTAATTATCTTCATTGCCTGTAAGTTTATATCCATATAAACTTCGTAACTAAAATTTATTAAACGTTAATTTGTATTACCCATATTATTGTCCAGTTTAAACATACGTCTCAATTCTCACTTAGTAATTGTCATTTAAACATGAACTGAACATGAAAAAGCATACAAAAATTAACAAAATGTTAATTACATTACAAAATAAATGTTATTTGATCGGTTTTATGTGTTGCAATTATTTATGTACTCAATAAAAATTCTGTAATTTTGCTTGACACACAGGTGATTTAATATTTTCAATGCTCTTTATTTAAAAAAATACATAAATATCCTGCCTTCAAAGCGACCTGAGGAAACAACAGAATTTCTACTGGAGTTCAATGCACACAATCCTACCGGATGACACTCCCGTAAATTAAGCAAAGTTTATAAAAAATGTACCACACGTTCGAGGTGGTACTCGACTCGTGGTTCTTTTTCAAAATTAAGTGAAAACGACCGCAAAGGAATTTGAATTGTCGACTTTACATGTTCCGATGGAAAGGCAGCAATGAACTTGAGAAAAAGAAACTGAAACCACGCATGCAGAATAACATACATTCATTTTAAAGTGATACCATTGAAAATAAAAGCTTATTTCTATAATCGAAGTGCTTTCATGGAAAATATAAACTAATTAATGATCTGCTCTATAAGATCATGCATTTTGATTGGAAGATTTTTCCATCTGATCAAACCAAATCAAAGCAATTATCGAAGCATTGAAAGTGGCAATTTCTCTTGCCTGTTATGGTCGTGAAATATAATTAAACATTTGGTTAGCCAATGTATATGGCAATATTTGCAGAAAAATTTGCTTTTTCAGTGAAATGAAGATGATTGAATGAGAGGTATGTGTAATGGTAGGAAAGACATGTCTCTTGAATGAAAAAAATCTGCTTGGAGTGGTGAATCTTTGAATAATAGAAACAAAATACATTTTCATTTTATGAGGATTTGCTTGTGCTTTGGTGGACATTTTCATTTGCAATTATAAGTGCCTTTTTTATATAATAACCTTATAATCTTATATAATAATAAACCTGATTATACAAGAATATAACTCGGTTTATTGTCTAGAGTGTCAGTATTATTTACAAGTTGACTTCCCAACGAATCAAAATACCAAATATTTACTCAATAATAGTTCGGTTTCTTCATCGTAAACTGGTAGAATCTTAAAGAACAAATCATAAAATAAAAGAAAAGTTTTCGAAAGTAATAATAGTTGAGTTCCTTTGCTTTTAAATGCAAACATTTTATCGGCAGAGTATTTAAGAACAGTTTATGAATTAAAGTGTTCTGTGTGTCTTAAAGTTTTGGAAATGTAATTTAGTAAATTTACATTAAGTGTTTTTAGGGCAAACACAATATTTGACATCACATTATTATTAAACTGAGTTGAACATAGTTGATTAGTCGAAGTAAAAGAAAGTTGTGTGATACTTTGGATGTTTAAATACTGAACAATCAAACAATGATGTAAATATTACAAAAGAAATTGGCATTTTTATGATAATGAATTATTAAATACCATGGATAGTAGCAAAGTTTGCATGCGCTTCTTTCGATACACCGCATATTAATGAATAATAATTGAGAAAGACATCTATGAATTTAGTGCCTCATTATCATCACCAAAGGCAATTTGTTTCGAAAGGTTTTATCTTGATTTCCGAGTGAAAGTGATACTTGAGGTAGTTTTAGCATGATCAT